TTCTCAGACCTTAGGAATTCTTTAAAAATACAACCAGGAACTTGTCTGTTACACGTGGACTTTTGGTAAACTGCAGGCACGATTTAGTGATGCATAGAGTATCAGTATTTATTGAATGAATGAATGAATGAATGAGAGTATAGCCTCCTCTCTAAAAGTGTATGGACCTTTCGCTTAGTTTCAGATAACCAAATAGCGCCCTGACCTTTCATGCGAGGACCTGGGCGAGTGAGGAAAAATGGCCCCAGTGAGCCCGTGCTTGTTCCTGCTGGGCTCAGCCAGCAGCATGCAAGGCGTGGAAGAGTATTAGCGTGGCAGAGGCGTACTACAGACAGCGAGGTTAGGCAGGAATAGTACAGGCACTCAGGCAGGGCTGGGCCTCGACAGAGGGTCGAGACAAATGAAAACACACCACAGCCGTGGCTGGGCCCATCCGTTGGGGGCCAGGCCTCACGTCACAAAAGGACCAGGTGAGCTGAGCAGCAACGCCTGGTCTAGTGAAGTCTAGCTGGGCATCAGTCACTCTGGTGGGCAACCAGGACCCCCGGGTGCTTCCCCTGAGAGGCTCTCAGATCTTTCCATGCGCACTTGGTGCGTGACCTGCTCCCCCTTCGATCAACATCACCTAAGCAGGGCCGGGGACATAGCTCAGCGGCACAAGCACCTGCCTGGCAAGCGCAAGGTCCTGAGTTTGATTCTCGGTACCAACAAAACAAAAGCAGAAAACATTACCTAAGCAGCTCTGCTTGTAATCTGATTGGTTCATCACAGCGGTAACCCACGCTGGGGCTCTTCCTGCCTCCTGCCTGAGGGTGCCGCAGCCGTGCAGGCCCCAAGCCCAGGCCGCTCTCCCGCCAGCCCAGGTCCCTGCCCACGGCACCACTGCTCTTTCTGCCACAGCGCGTAATAGTTTATTTTCGATCAGCCAGAAAGAGACGTGAGGTGAAGAGGGCCACATATCTCTGTAAAGCCCCAAGCCAAGCGCTGTTTCCAGTACCAAAACAGCGGCTCCATTCCTACCCCCAGGCCAGTACTCGCTGTTCCAACCAGCATCGCTGGATTCTTGCATCCTGGAGTGCGGGCGGCTGTTCGCGGGACAGCACTTGCCCAGGGAAGCCAGCGGGCCCAGGCGGGAAGCAGACTTCACGTCTCTGATTCGAGAAATTGAGAAGATATGGTCAAAAGCAGACAAGTAGGGCCGGGGATGTAGCTCAGCGGCACAAGCGCCTGCCTGGCAAGTGCAAGGTCCTGAGTTCGATTTCCGATGACAACAAAAACAGACGCGTAGGAGCCGGATCGGGAGGGCCTCAGCCAGGCGTGGTGGCGCACACCTGCGAGCCCCACTCCGGGCGCCTGAGGCAGGAAGATGGGAAGATCAAGGCCAGCCTGGGAATTTGGCAACTCAGCCCTGCCTCAAAATAAAGATTAAAAACGGCTGTGTGTGTGTGTGGGGGGGGCGCGCTGCTGGGGATTTAGCTCAGCGGCACAGCGCCTGCCTGGCAAGTGCAAGGTCATGAGTTCAATTCCTGGTACCAGAAAAAAACAAAAACAACAACAAAAAAATGGCTGGGGATGTAGCTTAATGCAAAGGCCCTGGGTTCAGCCCCCAGGATCCATCATCACCACCGCGGAGGCCTTGGCGGCTGCCTGTGTGAGCGGCCTCCCGGGCAGCAGGGAGGGGAAGGCCGCAGAGACCCATCCGCTCCCCCCAGCTCCACCCAGGGCGCTTCCCCACCACCCGCCCGCCGCGGGCAAGACGCCCTTAACTGCCCGCAGCAGAGTCCGGCTCAAGGCTCCCGCAGCTGCTGCGCAATCCCGCACCCGAGGGCCCACCGAACGGCCCTCCCCACTCTTCGGCTCTGACAGCCGCTTCGTGCCTCTGGCTAAAGGTGAGCCGAGCCCAGGTCTCCGCTGCGAAGCCCGGGTGTAAGGGCCTCGGGCCCGGGGACCTGCTCTCCCGCTCTGCGCACCGCAGCTGCATCTGCTGGCCGTGGATGGCCCTCTGGGGACAAAAGGTGCCAGAAGGGCGGAGGAGCTGCCTGGCCCTGGAACTCTCTCACCCCCTGATCCATTCCTCCTTCCTGCTTGGTTCAGCTTCTTTTACTGCGGCCTCCTTGGGGCCAGCACCGAACCTGGTTCGCAGGGGGAATTAGCAAGCAGACTGACGGGGAGGGGGCCTCGCGCCCGAGGACCCCCCAGTCCCAGAGCGAGTCTCCAGCGCTGCAGGCCCAGGCCGGGCAAAGGGGCTCCTGGGGCCAGAACCCGAAGCACAGGAAAGGAGGGAAATAATGAGCTCCCGAGTAACAGTGATGAGCTAAGACATGAAACACTGCCAGCCACTCACCCCAAGAACCCACATCCCGAGAAACAGGCTAAAGTACTGCTCCAGGCTGCACAGCACCCCCGCCCCAGCAGGCCGGGGAGAAAGGGTTGAAACCCAGGCTCTGTGGCTCCAGGCCCCTTCACGACAGCCCTCAGGTCTGGAAAGAGTGTGGCTTCGGTCATGCACGCACATCCAAGTCAGACGATTGTCCCACGTCCAGCAGAGGGCAGAAAGGCTTCGGAACGGCCCTTTCTCTGGATTTGAACGGGTGAGTCCGGCCCCAAGATCTGCAGTGGGGACAGTTGCACACAGTGGCACCGGGGTGCCCTGGCAGATGGCATCCGCAGGTGGCGGCTTGTCACCTGCTTCTTCGCTGGCGTACTCCTCTCAGGCGGCCTCTGCCCAAGCGGTGGCAGGCTGGTCAGCAGGTGCAGGAGTCCTCACTATGCAGCCCTGGGGCGGCAGCAGCAGCGCGGAGGCCTGGCAGGCTCTGCTGGCCACCTGTCATGTGCCTGCCCTAAGCCATGCGTAGGTGGGTAGAATATGTGCAGATGAGCCAGGCCTGGCCCGCCACTCACCCCTCCCTGGAAATGGGGAACATCAGGTACTGTGACCAGGCCTGGCAGGCAGAAACTATGCCACTTAAGCATAGGACCCTTGCTGGAGCCTCTGTTTCTCTTGTAATTTTGACTTCTTTTTGAGACAGGGTTTCACTGTGCAGTGCAGGCTGGCCTTGAACTTGCAGCGATCCTCCTGCCTCAGCCTCCCATGCACTTGGAATATAGGCATGTGTCACCGTGCCCGGTATAAAATGAACTTTTTAAATGAAATGTTTCACTAAGTGATGTAACAGCAACTTTACACTTTTCTTAGTGATGAGGTGGGTTCTCTAACTTTCCCCAGAAGCTTTCCCCATCCGGTTAGGAGCTAGGCAGGTCCGCAAGAGTCCTAGGCCTTATCTGCTTGCACTCTCCTTCGCCCTGGCTGAGGTCTAGGCATTGCAGCCACCATGACGGGACTCACGAAGCTCAAGTCCCTACAGCCCTGAGCTGCAGGAGCATGGGCAGCCGCCTCACACACTGTCGGGCAGCCTCTGCACCGCAGCTGAGATCCCTGAGATCCCAGGAGGCCGCGTCTGTGCTGTGTGTAGAATCGCCAGCGACAGGACGACCGCCTTAGCATTCTATTTGCTGCTGGAATGCACCAGCAAGCTGAGTTACTTCCAAGGCTCATCTCCCATTCCCCGAGGTCAGCAGTCTGGGCACGGTGTGGCCCTGCTAGAGCTTCTGCTTCAAGCCTCGGGGCTGGACAGCGCCCTGGGAACGTTCGGCCTCCAGCTCACCGGCTGTGGGCGGCCCCGGGCAGAGTGGACCCGCCCCTGCTTTCCACATGGTCCCTTGCAGAGAGCAACACTGAGTCCAAATCCGCCTTGGTCTCTTCTGCTGCTGCTTCAGGCTTCTGTGGTTACACAGAACCCCAGGATAACCTTTCATGTGTTTTTCTGAGACAAGGCCTTGCTATGTACTGCAGGGCGGCCTTGAACTCACTGGGAGCGCAGGCCGGCCCTCAGCTGGTGGCCCTTCTCTTGCCTCAAGCTGCGAGGGTGAACCGGCCTTGTGCACCGTGCACGCAGGCCCAAGAGCCCGGCGCTCGGGCACACGGCCGGGCACGCGAGTGCCGGTGTACAAAAGCTACCCGGAGCACCGAGCACGGGAAGGGACTGGGCGGTACACTCCAAGCGGGACACACTGAACTGGACGTAAGGTCATCTGAGTGACCGAAAGTCAGGCTTCCCTTTAAGAGTCCCAAACGTGGAACACCTTGGAGAGCTAAGAAAACGAGCACATTTCCTCAGGCACGCAACACACTGCTTTAAAACAGCGTGTCAGCCGGCAACACCGACAGCCGCGCGGCTGCCGTCTGCGGCTCTCCGCAGGGCGTC